GGTGGGGAGCCCCGTAATGCCTGAAGGACGTCTGCTGCAAAGGATTTTACGATTTTCTTCATGTAAAAATCTACGAAACAAACGGGCCGACCCAAAAAGAAGCTGGTTTGAGTATTTATGTGTTCTGAATATTGCCCCACTGGCCTGTATCCCTTACCGTAGGTGACCCTCTGCTTGCCTCTTACAACCGTCACTTCTTGCATGAGGCTGTGTTGCTTTTCAGGCACAATGGAAGATGTACCTGGCTTGCAGAAACTTGCGAGATAGTTGAAAGTGAACACCAATTTCTATTCTAAGCCAGTAAGAATAATCCGATTTCCAAAGTATTTTACGAACTTTTCCAAGGTTTATTTTACAAACAGCACAAGCAGAGTATTAGTACTAATCCGCAGCAATAACTTTGCACAGAAGGTACACACATACATACTTGAGAAATAAAAGAGGCAGAACACAACTGACAGTTTGCTTGATACAAAACTAACAGGGTTTTCTAAAGCCTGTGATTTTGTTAATTACATACCTGCCTAGCTGTTTTAAGGACTGTGGTGGGTGGTTCACATCTCTTCATTACATGAAGTGTTTGTCTGGACTCCAGGATTGCAGAGGTAGCACAAACCCACAGAACTGTTACCTGGCAGTTATATTTTCTGAGAATTGTTATCGAATTCCTCTTTCTCCCTTCACATTTAGTGCAAAGTTATGCTGGACTGACTGGATGTAGTAATGGTTGGCACTGGTGCTGCTGGGAAATTCAGAACCCTGTGGAGCATTCTGCCAGCCTACAGTGGGTGGTCTGGTTTGGTTTGTTTTTTAACCACAGCTTTTTTTTCGGCTATAACAGCTCTGTTGCATGTATGGATCTGTTAGTGTTGATTGTCATTAAATGTGATATAAGAGAAAAATCCTTTTGCTCCCAACTGCTTTTAAGTATGAGGTTTGAAACTGTTTGAAACCATGCTTTAGCCTACTAATGGAGGCACTTCAAATGCTGGATCAATGCATCCTATGCCAGTGCAAGCATGTCTGATTCAATTGCTCATTTTCCCTGCCTGAGTAGATGGTATCTTTATTGTACTGCTGCTACCAACTCAAATATAGCCATGTACAGTTTTATCCTTTATGTCATTTATGTCGATAGGGAATAGAAGCTGTCAGTTCTCTCTGGCCCAGATCTTCAGATGTATTTATGTGCTTAAATGCCATTAAAATCAATGCTGCTGCTGCTACTGTAAAAGAGTTTTTTACTTTGAAAGAAAAATAAACTGCCCACTGTTGCATACAGAGCACATTGCAGGGTGGGCGGGTTGTATCCTGTGGGTCTGATTTCCCAAATGCAAACAGGGCTACCTTAGGCTGTCTGTGCCCATTCCTTCCATGTACTATCTGCACCACCGATGCTGTGGAGCGAGCCTGTTGCATGTGTAGCAGGTACTGAACTGCACATATTATACCCTTCTGTATCCAGAGTAAAAGCAGAGATAGCTTACCTAAGTATCCCAGGTTGATTCCCAAGTAGCTGAGTTATCCTTGCAGTGGGCGCAGGGTAAGTGCCTTAAGTCCAAAGCAGCCATAGGCACCACAATAACCTACTGGCATTTGTCACTCAGCTCCAGTTATTTACTGTTTTATAGACTCAGCCTTAATCTGTGGGACTTGGATGTGTGTGGATAAGTGCCTTACTGGTTTGATGACCTGTGCATAGGATGCACTGGGATAGTTTTAAGAAGGAACCTTTACCATGGTAACCAAACTGTGTTGTGTACTACAGTACTTTTCTATCAATGATATTCTCCTGTTAGAGTATGACATTGTCTGGAGGCTCTTTTGACCCCTTGGGTTGGAGCTGGTTTCATTATGGTATTCTGGTTGATTAGCGTGATGAAGTGTCACAGTAGCTACAGTTAGACTTAGTTTTTTTCAAGTTCTTAATGCTCTTAAAGGGGAGCTCAGTAGCACTTTAGTTGCAAAGTTAACAAAGGACAAAAACAAATGGAGAGGAAGGCAATGAGATTAGAAATGTTAGTAGGAAAGAAATGAATCTTGGAAAAATTAAAACACTTTTAAAATTACAGTGATGGAGATATAAAGGAGTGAAAACAAATACTGGGTGAATATAAACAGAGAAATCAGATGAGAAAAGCAAATTCATATTTTGGAGTGGCTATGGTGTGAGGTACAGCAGTGAATCCAATGTTGCTACTTCCACATGTCCCAAACACTCAACCTAGATTTTGTGAACTTCTGGTTTGGGACAAATAAATGACAAGATTGCTGGGAGAGACCTGTAGCTGTTCTTTTGTTATTAGTAGATTTTTAGGAACCAGCATCTGCAATTCACCATGTCTTGGAGACTAACCCTAGACTATGATCTGTGTTATTGAGCATCTAAGTTCCAGAGAGATAATAGAGGCTCCAGAGGAAATAGAGTCATAAGGAGTGAAATGTATTCAAAGGCTGGGCATTTCTCTATATTCTGAGAAAATGGACTACTTTATATAACAAGTGACCAAATAATTCAAGGAGAACCTTTCCATTAGGTAATTAAATGCATAGTGGCTGCAGTCGTATCATTAGACTACATCAAAAAGCCGTTAGTGGAATGAAAACCTGAAAAACAATTTAAAAAGTAGTTGAGGTAGGGTGGCTGCCCTCTTTTCCTTCACTAAAAGCACTTTCAGTGCTGTGTTTGGATGCATTGGCCAACACTG